ACAGCTATGCAGTGACCCTGTCGCCCCCTGCTGAAGAAGCATTCAAAACTAAAAACAAGGTGGAACCCTTAGGTACAGGGGTTGACACACACACAAGCACAAAACCTACTCGTACTGTGCCAGACTGTCAGGGTCAATGCATGACTGCTTTTGGTGGGTATATGCTTGGACAATCTTGGACAGAGGTGGGAGGGCTTGGACTGCTGTAGCCTTGTGATACAGCATTGTCGTGCCACATGATTACAACTTGCACCAGGCATGACAACTATGACAAACACCGTACTACAGCGAGCCTAAAACACCTTTCCGTAGGCAGGCTACCATTTGGGCGTGGCAACTAAGGGCCTAATGTTGTAGTTGGAATGAACTGTGCCTAATGCCTTCATGTCTGCAAGGTTCCACACCACATGCATGCAGCGCACGCACATGTATACTGTATACTGTATACTACATTTTAGTATACTGTATACTACATTATGGTATACTACAATTACATTACACTACAATTGTTGCAGTTAGTCAGAGTGTGTAAAACAACAAGGAAACAAGAAACGATATCGACGATAACGTCAAAAGGGTATAGGGAAAGGTACAGGGGTTTTCACACTTCACTTTGTTCTTTTGATTTCTGTTTGTTGGATTGTAGAGGAAGGATTTTGGGTGCGCACTTGTAGGGCTTTCTTTCGTCCGCAAAACTTGCCTCTCTTGGCTGCATTGTGATTCAAGGGGCCAGGGAACTTTCACTAGTTGGACCCCACAAGAACGACTTTAAACTGCTAGCGTTGCGTCCTTGCATCGAGTTGAGGCTTTGGAACCCTGGAACGTGACTTTCAGGTGAGGGGGGCAAAGGGAATCCGAGAAAATCCTGAGTCCCATCTGCGCCGAACAGGCTGCCTTGCGGAAGTTTAACTTCGACCCACCTCCTGTCTCATCTTCAGCGCCCTTTGATGGAGGTGCTTCACCGTCGAGCTGAAAGAACGAAAAAAAAATAAATAGAACACCTCTACCCTTGTCTACCCTTTCTGGACACGCATTCATTATGGCTAGATTTGATCTTGACTTGACAGCACACTACTGCAAACTTGGGGCTTCGCCTCCTTCCACTTGGACCTTGCATCAAAGTTCTTCCATGTCCACTTTAGTGTAGAGACATGGAGGGCCTCTGGCGTTTCAAGATAAGGCGGCAGTCCCCATCTTCAGGTCCTTGCCAATCCCGGCTCTCGCCCTGGATTGCGCTGCCGCTGCTCCCCATTTGCCCGGTCGCAGCGGGCGCCCTTGCGCTCGGAGCTACCTTGTGGAACCGCGGGCCGGGATCCCCTAGTAGCGTCCTTGCTCCTAGTAGCGATGCCCTTTGCTCCCAGTAGCTTCTTGCTCCTAGTAGTAAGGCCAGGAGCCCCTAGTAGCGTCCTTGGGCCGGGAGAGCCAACTGGACTGGACGTTGAAAGTTTTCATCAAGACCAGCAACACGGCGAAATGCCCCAGCAGGGTGACCATGATACAGCGTAGTCTGTTTTACATAAAACGGGATTTGTGATTTGTGGTTATGTACTGTAACTACATGTCATTCAATTCGTTTGATATGTGTCGACTCGCTTTGTTGAATGTCACTTCTTCAGCCTGTTTGTAGTCATCCTCTTGTAGAAGGCACTTTAATGAATGCGCTGTTGCGCGATGATGCGCCATGTGTCGTGTGGAATGAAGTTCTGCCTTGCTGTGCTAACTGCTGCGCTACTTGGGCAGGTCGCCAAGTGGTGTTCCAAGGCCAGGTCTTTGAGTACTTGCAGTGTCGACAAGGTTGAGGCTGAGAATGTGTGAGAAGGAGTATGACATTGGGATGCGACAACATATGACAACATTCAATACTTGCAGCATTCTTTTGAGAATGCCTGCTGTGCATTTTTTGG